CACCTTTAATCGTTCCCCAGCTGCCTTTGTCCTGAGACCTCTGCACTGCAGATAACGTCTCGCTGTTCTGGCACGTTACCAGCTCTAGGTGCCTCATGATGTTTGAGGGGGTACAGACGCAGTGCTATATAAGATGGCTGTATCAACATACGGCAGCAGGATTACCATTGTAAATCTGTATATATTACATAAATGTAGTGTTTGTTTTTTAAAATCTGGAATTTGTGAGACTTCATTAACGATTCATTTGATTTATAGCACCTGGTCACCTGGTCGAGAGTCAGCAGAAGAGTTCAGCAACTCAATTGACTGATTCATTTCATTATAATAACCTGCTCATACGAATCATTGTGAACTTAATTACTTTAGTTTTTATGCTTAGCCACCCAACAGCAAAAAAAAAGACACGTCATGATTTTTATTATCTAACCAGAGGGCTAAAGTGGCTAAAGTTTGGTTTTTCTTTTTTCATTAAAACCACCTTTTCAAAAGAGTCATTTGTTTGTGAATCAGACTTTTTCCCATTTATAATTTAAAACCAACATTAATTACCCAGTACTCTGTATATTTTGTAATCCAGTTTCCACTCACAAATTCAGCAATTCAATTAGTCAACTTTCGAGTTTGTGAGTCTTTTTTACTAATTAATTTCATTTAAAAAAAACTGCTCACGAATCCTTTTTTGGGAATTGAATTACACTAGTTAGTTTTTATGCCTAGCCATCGAAAGCAGAATTTGCAAAAGAAAGACTTGTCATGATTTGGAGTGGCCTTAAACAGAAAAGTTTTCTTTTGTTTTTATTTGTTTGCTTTTTCAAACCTTAAACTGATAGTCCGTCCAAAAAATCGAAAATGTCATTATTTGCTCACCCTCATGTCATTCCAAACTGGTTTGACTTTCCTTTTTTGTACAATAGACGTTTTGAAGAACAGTTTCTGTTCCCATTGACTACCATTTTATTTTTTGTCCATACAATGGAAGTCAGTAGGAACCAAAACTGTATCTCATTTCAAGAACCTCCTCATAGGAATAATTTGTTTGTTATTTGAATTTCATTAGTACAATAATTTGTTTCTATTCTTAGCCAGAAGAGCAAAGAATGCAAAAGAAAGACATCTTGACCTGGATTATCTGATGAGTGAATTCAAAGAGGCTTTGGCTACTTTTTTAATGACCGCACTAAATCAGTTTGCACATCACAGAATGTAAAAGTCCTTCTAATGGCCCCTCTGTCTCCAACTATGAGCCTACACTTTTACCTTTTGAAGGATGCGGCCTGGACAGTCTTTCCCGCAAGAGTTGAGAGATGATAACTAAAGGTTAAAGACAAATAGCATTAAGTGTTTCATTTTAACCGGCACATTTTGAAAGATTAACCGATTAGCTCTGCACTTTGCGGCCCACTGCCTCATCCAGGCCGCGTAGATGAAGAGATTTAAAAGTCTGGAGTTGCTCAGAGGGATCAGATTACATTTAAAAGTTTTTCTACCCTCATTTAGCCTTCGAAACAACTGAGGCAATTAGTTTATAGAGTAACTGCTCTAAGTGTTCTGTCCATCTTTAGTAACTGCGATTGGCATGTCAGCTGAGATAATGCAATGTTCTGTTCAGAATAAGAGCTGCTGCTCGTCCGTCACCGCGTTTGTATTCAAGACTTGACCGAAGTTTCCAAAAATCTCACAGTTTCTGCTGCAGATAAATGTTAGGAAATGTAACCTCCTAATGAAGGTAATGCAGTCTTATTAGACTCACTCCAGGGAATGTGAGTGTTCAGATGAACCTCTACCTTGTGCCTTAACTCTCCAATTCGATTTTATGCTCTAATTTCGGGGTAGTTTGTTCCTCAGCCTACTTGCCAAATCCTCAGAGAGCTAAATTGATAGCATCCTTTGGCTTTGGGGCTTTCGGGCTGTGTCCGGGTTATGATCCAGGCCTGCGAAGAGAGAGAGAAGAAGAGAGATAACCCAGCCATGCCCTCCAGGATTTACTGTGACTGGGGAGGGGAGAGAGGAAGAGGGACTGGCACGGCGGAGGGGAGCGGGACGAGCCCGGAGGGAGCGCAGATCGCCTCGCTGCTCAGCATTGCGAGTCTGTTTAGTATTCCTGTCACGTCAGCTGGAGGGAGCGGCATTAAATTGGGATCAGGCAGATTAGAGTCTAATATAGCCAGCTATTAAAGGCTGCAAATGAGAGTGGTGGGTTACAGCCGGAGCCTGGGCCCCTCACCCAGTCTCACAGCTTCTCTCAGTCTCTCAAACAGGCTCCGCGAGGGGGGGGAAATATACACACAGGAACATGGATAGGATAGGATATGATAGGATTCGATAGGATAGGGTAGGATGAGATAAGATAGGATAGAATTGGTTAGTATAGGATGCTATTTTGACATAGTGTTTCTTGCATTCAACAACGAACCGAGCACAAGCTTCGATGCCCGATTTGTGAACAAATTAGGATTGGATAGGATAGGATAGGAGATAGGATAGGATAGGGAATAGGCTGGGATAGGAGATAGAATAGAATAGGATATGATATGGGATAGGACAGGAGATAGAATAAGAAATGGGATAGAATAGAATAGAATAGAATATGGGATAGGATAGAATATGGGATAGGATAGGATAAGATAGGAGATAGGATGGATAGGAAATGGTATAGGATATGACAGAATAGAATAGAATAGAATAGAATATGGGATAGAATAGGAGATAGGATAGGATATAGGATAGGATAGGATGCTATTTTGACAGTGTTTCTTGCATGCAACAACGAACAGAGCACAAGCTATGTCTGATTTGTGAACAAATTACTCTTTTGAATATATATGCGGAAACTGATTATTTTAACCCTCATTCTGAGCCTCTGTCCAATTTTAAGGGGAGACTCCTTTTAGTGCTGTCCGTAAACAGCCACTGTCGTGATTATTGTATTTATGCTCAAATAAATGCAGCCTTGGTGGGTATAAAAAGTATTTCCCCCAAAAAAATATGTATTGAAAGATACATTAAAAAATACCATGCATATATAAATACTGTTCCAAAACTATATGACATAATATATATTACGATAATATACACTCACTTAAAGGATTACACCAGACTAATAGTGTGTTTGTCTCGCTTTCGCCTTCAGAACTGCCTTAATTTTACGTGGCATTGATTCAACAAGGTGCTAAAAGCATTCTTTCGAAATGTTGGCCCATACTGATAGGATAGCATCTTGCAGTTGATGGAGATTTGTGGGATGCACATCCAGGGCACGAAGCTCCCGTTCCACCACATCCCAAAGATGCTCTATTGGGTTGAGATCTGGTGACTGTGGGGGCCATTTTAGTGCAGTGAACTCATTGTCATGTTCAGGAAACCAATTTGAAATGATTCAAGTTTTGTGACATGGTTCATTATCATGCTAGAAGTACTGTAGCCATCAGAGGATGGGTACATGGTGGCTATAAAGGGATTATCATGGTCAGAAACAATGCTCAGGTAGGCCGTGGCATTTAAACAATGCCCAATTGGCACTGAGGGGCCTAAAGTGTGCAAAGAAAACATCCCCCACACCATTACACCACCACCACCAGCCTGCACAGTGGTAACAAGGCATGATGGATCCATGTTCTCATTCTGTTTACGCCAAATTCTGACTCTACCATCTGAACGTCTCAACAGAAATTGAGACTCATCAGACCAGGCAACATTTTTCCTGTCCAATTTTGGTGAGCTCTTGTAAATTGTAGCCTCTTTTTCCTATTTGTAGTGGAGATGAGTGGTACCCAGTGGGGTCTTCTGCTGTTGTAGCCCATCCGCCTGAAGGTTGTGTGTGTTGTGGCTTCACAAATGCTTTGCTGCACACCAGTTGTAACGAGTGGTTATTTCAGTCAAAGTTGCACTTCTATCAGCTTGAATCAGTCGGCCCATTCTCCTCTGACCTCGAGCATCAACAAGGCATTTTCACCCACAGGACTGCCGCATACTGGATGTTTTTCCCTCTTCACTGCATTCTTTGTAAACCCTAGAAATGGTTGTGCGTGAAAATCCCAGTAACTGAGCAGATTTTGAAATACTCAGACCGGCCCGTCTGGCACCAACAACCATGCCACGCTCAAAATTGCTTAAATCACCTTTCTTTCCCATTGTGACATTCAGTTTGGAGTTCAGGAGATAATGCATCAACCCCTGAATGCATTGAAGCAACTGCCATGTGATTGGTTGCTTAGAATCTAGATAATTGAATTAATGAGAAATTGAACAGGTGTTCCTAAAATCCTTTGGGTGAGTGTATATCATAATTTATATGACACAAATGCACTCAGGATCACTGCAACGACAGCATCAAATGGGACTATAACCACTTTTAAACCTCTGAACAATTCTGTAATTTGCCAACTAAAACATCTCCTAAATGTTTCATTTTGGGATCCTACAGCTCCCTAGTATTTTTCTATGCTGTCCTTATTGACTCACAGCCTGACCCTTAATCATTTGTTGTGGTGATGTTGTTTTCTTTTTAATTGAATCTGCATGTCAGGCTAGGCTTAGCTTTCAAGAGGCTGAGCTGAGTGAATTTGAGCTTTCATTAGGTCTTCTCTTCAGCAGAAGCCTCTCTCTGGACAGGCTTAAACCAGTGCAAACATATTCGTCCTCTGATGATACAGGAAATGATACATGACAAATGTCAACTTGCTAGAAGAAACCTTTAGACAGAGCTTATGCCTACAATCAAATGAAGATGACAAAGATTATATATTCTGCTGTGTAATGTCATCTGTCCTGACTGACATTAAACTGGTTATTTTCTTCTTAACTGGTTATTTTATTAAACACTGGTGTATGGCTTACTGCATAATCCACAGTATATACTCTCTTACTCCTTCAGAATATGTGAAAAAGATTGCAAAGGATTATGGTCAATAAGAATTATTATTCTCATAATGCTGCATTAATTTACTATCAAAAATACAGTGATATAATTAAGTATGAACTCTTTCTGTGTCCGGCAGACATCCTCTTTTCCCTCTTCTGGCGTTGCTGTTTGAGAAGTGTGAGCAAGCAACACAGGGCTCAGAATGCATCACCTCCGCCAGCTTTGACGTCGACATCGAGAACTTCGTCCACCAGCAAGAGCAGGACCACAAGCCTTTCTTCAGTGAGGACCCTGAACTAGACAACCTGGTAAACACTGTTGCTTTATTGTGTCAAGTTCAGCTGTTTACCAGCTCTTAAAAAACGGTTTTACTTCCTGTACCTAAATGTCATATTTTGTACTGCCCTCTGCTGGCATATTTGCTCTGTATACTTTAAATTCTGAGGTAGTTTGTTGTTTAAAATATCAGTAAAACGACTAGGATAAATCAATGTTTTATTGAAAATAAAAAGTGTTAGTCACAATGACACTCGCCACCCCAGTCCGTGGCTCGTTTCTTCCCCTCTATTGTTCTCGTTTCCTCTAACTCTCTCCCTGATATTCATCATCTCATCTCTTCTGTGCCCTGCAAGACAGTTAACAGTAATTAGAAATTAAGGGAAGGAGGAAGAAAAAGGTCACTGTACATCATTACCGTGGCACTCGGCCGACTAGCGCTGCTCAGTCAATTAACTCTGCATCTGTGTGCTTTACGACACACTGGTCACACACGCGAGTCTTCCGTTCACTAACTCCTCACCGCGACAGTTATAGCGCCCGCTCTGCGCTTCGTTCTCGCCTCAGAGAGATGGCACTGAGCCCTGATTAAACGAGCTGCAGTAATTGGCAGATTTATCTCCTCCTTGGCAAAGCATTTTTTAGCCCATTTGGTCGTCCTTGAGTTCTGACTTTGGGCGGTGACTATTTGAATGGGTAGTTGGAACTGAAAGTTCAGTCCCGTCCAACTGTATCAGCAGAACTCGAAAGTGTTTGTAGGATTAAGCAACACAACCAGGCAAACAGCGGCAGGGAAATTCTGGCTCCAAATTTATGTTTGGTTTTTAACAGTTATTGAAATAATTCACTAAATAAAGGAAATTCCTTCATTTACTTATTTTTTTCTTCCCAGAATGTACTGGCTGCCCTTTTTCATACAATAAATGGTAAAAAATCACCATAAAGTATAAAAAAGTTACCCATATTATAGTGCACAATACTGTGTATTCAAATTCTTTCAAGAATTTTTTAACTTTAATCTCGAAATGTTTCAACTTTAATCTCTAATTTTTTTTAATTTAATCTCGATATGTTTCGACTGTAATCTCGAAACGTTTCGACTGTAATCTCGAAACATTTTGACTTTAATCTTGAAACGTTTCGACTTTAATCTCGAAACGTTTTGACTGTAATCTCTAAACGTTTTTCTGTAATCTCGAAACGTTTTGACTTTAATCTCAAAGTTTTTCGACTTTAATCTCGAAACGTTTCGAATTTAATCTCATAATATTTTGACTTTAATCTCAAAAAGTTTCGACTTAAATCTGAAAATATTTCGACTTTAATCTCGAAATATTTCAACTTGAATCTCGAAACCTTTTGACTTTAATCTCGAAACATTTTGACTTTAATCTCGAAACTTTTCGACTTTAATCTCGAAACTTTTCGACTTTAATCTCGAAACGTTTTGACTTTAATCTCGAAATCTTTCGACTTAAATCTCAAAATTTTCCGGCTTTAATCTCGATATGTTTCGACTTTAATCTCGAAACGTTTTTGACTGTAATCTCGAAACATTTCGACTTTAATCTCAAAGGTTTTCGACTTTAATCTCGAAACGTTTCGACTTTAATCTCGAAACGTTTCGACTTTAATCTCGAAACGTTTCGGCTTTAATCTCGAAACGTTTCGGCTTTAATCTCGAAATGCTAGATTTTTATTTTTTTACGTTACGGTTCAGGGCTTCCACAATATCACAAGTTTGCATTCCAGTTTTTATTGATTTAGAGAAATACTGAATCTGCTTTTGTTCTAAATGTAAAAGTAATGTGCTACATTAAAACATAACTCCCGATACTTGTAATCCGTTATCCCAACACTGACACAGATGGTGAAGGCGATCCAGGTGTTGCGGATCCACCTGCTGGAGCTGGAGAAGGTGAACGAGCTCTGTAAAGACTTCTGCAACCGTTACATCACCTGCCTCAAGACCAAGATGCACAGTGACAATCTGCTACGGAACGACCTGGGCGGCCCGTATTCACCATCACAGACCAACCTCGGTCTGCAGCAGGTGACTGACAAACACATTCTCCCTAGACCTTCAGTCTAAATGCTAAAGGTTTGTTTCTAACACATAAACACAGTGCCATGAATGCACACACTCTCACAGCAGTAACATTTACACTTGCGCGAACACAAGCTCTTCTCCCGGGGATGCAAAAGGTCACATCTGGCTTGCCCTTGCTGCTCCTGCTGAACTTTGCTGACCTCTGCGTGAGAAGACTTTCAGCACACACTTTTGGATGTTTTATCTACGACTGTCAATCAATTATTACTGAATTAAAATGGCAGTCAAATGGAATGGCATATCATTTAATATTATGTTTACGATGTTCACAAAACGTCTTACAAAGTCATATTCCCCAAGAAATTCACATGTGGACAGTAACTTCTACTTCCTCCCCCTCTTATAGGACCTGCTTCACAACTCATCCCCATCCCTCACCTCTGTCTCCAACTCGATAAACCCCTCTGGGATCGTAGTCCCCGCCGGTTCGCTGCAACAGAACAACGTTGCCATGACCACTATCAACTCTCAGGTGGTCTCAGGTGAGGAGGCCAATCATCAGTCCCTTTGCCCGCTCCTAAATCAGAGATCTCAGCATTCGGAACTGCTTTCCTTTCCAAATTCGTGAAAGTAATGCACATTATCTTCATTGGTATGTTTTTTTCTTTGACTCATTTTCTTTACATCCATCTCCCGCATAACAATACTTTCACATTGTGGATACAGAATGTCTAATTGCTGTGAAATCGAGCTAATTAGCAGCAAAACAAGATTCTTGATCCGTCCCGAATACCCTTTTGTTTTATTTTGGCGCTGCGAACGGGGGGTGAATTGGTATTACAGTATTTCAATAACAGTGAGGTAGAGTCTGTGATAACCTCAGTCTGTGACTGATTCCCACAGGTGGGACGCTGTATCAACCGGTGGCAATGCTTACCTCACAGGGGCAGGTGTTAACCCAGGGCTTACCACAGGGAACCATCCAAATCCAAAACAATCAGGTGAGGGAAACCTGCTTTGATGCAGAGAATCTGCAGGGCTGTATCTTTCTTCACAACTAATTCTGGAATTATTTCTATAGCCTGATGCTTTCAGTTTACAGATGCTTTTTTTAACGTTTTACTTAGAAATATTACTAAATTATTTATTTAATATACATGTAAATATGATTTGTTTTGCATTTACATGGCTTCAGACAGTTGCATTGGCATATTTTGATCATTTTTATGTCTGTTTATGTTGTCTATGGCCTACTAATTTAAATTAAATTTGGCCCTAATTCATAAAACACAAGCCGAACAAATTTCTGTGTAAATAATTAATAACTCCATTCAGACGTTCAACCCTATTGAAGTGGATGCAATTTAGGAATGGTTTTACATAAGATTATGCAGATTGTTTGTCCTTTCTCTTCACAAATAAGACACAAAATGGAGGAGGGAGGGGGAGATAATTTATTCATTTAAAACTTATTTGTCAAACATTATTGAATTATTAATTAAAACAATATCAATTTTTTTATTTATATATATTATATATATTTTTATTTTATATATTAATTATATATATATATATATATATATATATATATTTTGCCGGCCCACCGGCCTCGCGCCGTTCTCCCGCGGCCCTCACTCGTCCCGCTCGCCACAGTAAACATGATGAACGGCAACTGTAGAACGCGAAAACCCAATCCTGGACATTTTGGGCGATCTCAAAACACATTTTCGGGCAGACTCATCACAGAGACTCACTGGTAGCCTAGACTTGTTGTATAGCGCTCTGTTACTGGTAGGCGTGGCCTCCGAGGGCAGCGAAGCAAGTGCATTCTGGGAGTTGTTGTCTTTCATCCAAGCCAAAAATACATTTTCTGGCTTTTCTCAGTCTAGAAAGCTCCAAATTCAAAAAATAATTTCTTCTACATAAATGACCCATTTTAAATACACACTCATCTTTCCAGTGAAGTATCCCTTTATCTGTTGCATAAGTCAGAGCTAAACCTGATCGGTTCATTTGTTAGCAAAACCCATGAGGTGACGTGTCACATAAATGCTCATGGATAACCCTTGTGATGCATTGGTTGCTTCAAGGATAGACATGATGCAGTTTATTTAGCAATTCTAGAGCTGTTAGTTAGTATTTTCGTTGCTGTCAAGTACATATCAGGTGAGTCAGGGTTTGACAGACAGCCGGAGCCTGTGCGGATCCCCAACATTGGGCCGAGGTGCTTCAGTACACGCAAGCTGGGAATAGAGTTCTGCCCGTAGCTACTTCTCCGACAAGCTTTCAGTAATAATACCACTGCATGAAGCCTCCAATTAATTCACTCTGCTTCCTGAATCACACACTCTCCCCCAATGTGGAAGTGTGTGTGTGTATTTTGAGTAGAGGAATGGGGGAAGAACCACATGACACCCAGCTGCAAATGTAACGAGGAGGTTGTTTTTAGAGCTTGATTATTATTTATTTATTTCAAATTTTTAAAATCAGTGGGGAGCTGCTGCTTTTTATGGCTTTCAGTGGCAATGGTAGCATGAAATTAATTATCCCTATTTTCAAAGTGGAAATGTTAATTTTTCCTTTTCTTCTTTTATTAATTTATTTATTCGCACACAGAGCTCTCGTAGATTATGCATCTTAAACGTCTCTGAAATGTTAATGTGCCAGTCTCCGAATGCCGTAAACCAAAGGAAAATAAATCGTTAATTTAGCACGCATCCTTTAAATAGTCACTCTCCAACTCTTGCGTTTTCACTCGGCTTACATTAATCGTACTTTGTAAGTTTGACGAAAAAAATGAATAATTGACGAACATTTTCTGCAGCTCTTTGAGTTGATGAAAGGCTTCAGTAAATGCACCCTCCTTGGCTTTAATTTTAGGTATCATTACTCCCATTGCGTTGCTATGGTGACTGAAGGCATTCCTGCCCCTGCCAAAGAAATGGTGACTGGCGACTCTCTTTGTTTCCGTGGCAACTATCCCTCCCTCTCCCCCACTCACTTTCTCGTCTCTCTTCTCTCTTTCTTCCAAGGTGAACCTGGACTTGTCCTCACTCTTGGACGCCGATGACAAGAAATCAAAAAACAAACGAGGTGTCCTTCCAAAACATGCCACAAACATTATGCGTTCCTGGCTCTTCCAGCATCTCATGGTGAGAAAAAGGATGCGTCTTCTTCACCCACTGTTGCCCAACAAGTTTAAAATGCACTGCAAAATCTCACTCCAATGAGATAAAGACAAACATAGTTAAAAATAAAGGCACACCATTTAAATAATATCTTATAACATTTTTGTATCCCATTTTTGTTTTCCAGCATCCTTATCCTACAGAAGATGAGAAAAGACAGATCGCAGCACAAACAAATCTTACCTTGTTACAGGTGAACAACTGGTAAGAATGACTAGTTTGTTGCATTTGATTAATCCACAGGAAAATGGCGCCATCTAATGGCCACAAACAAAATCACAAACCTTGTTCATGATTTGCAAATAGTATCTTGGTAAATGTCTTATATCAGTGTCCTTTTTTCTGTCTCTCTCTCGTCTCTCTTTGAAAGGTTTATCAATGCCCGCAGGCGCATACTGCAACCCATGTTGGATGCCAGTAATCCTGACCCTGCCCCCAAAGCCAAGAAGATGAAATCTCAGCACAGACCCACACAGCGCTTCTGGCCCGACTCTATTGTAGCTGGAGTCCTGCAGACACACGGATCCCACTCAGCAAACAATTCAGACAGTCAGTAATATCAACATAATCTCTCATGGCAGATATTATTTACATACTGGATATTATATATATCTATTTATAATATATATATATATATATATATATATTATATATATATAATTAACTGAATACTAAACATTAAAGATGACAAAATATGAACCACTAAAGGATTCATTTACTGATTTTACTATTATTTTCTATTATAGTGATTTTACAATTATTATATTTCTGTCTGACTTAAAATCACAATTAAAAAATATATATACACTATATATATATATATATACACACACATATATATACAGTGTATGTATATGTTTACACACACACACACACACACACACACATATATATATATATATATATATATATATATAATGTATACATATGCGTGTGTGTATGGTGTATGTATATGGTGCATAATAAAATAAATATCTGGATGTGTATAAAAATAATACAGTGTGTATATATATATATATATATATATATATATATAACAATGATGCATTGAATTGATCAAGAGTGACAGTAAAGTTAAAGATATTTAGAATTTCTAATTGTGTTTGTAATGCCACATTTTTTTTCTTTAAAACTTAATATTCATCAAAGAATCCTGAAAAAAAAATATTAAGCAGCACAACTATTTCAGTAACAAGTGTTTATTGAGCAGCAAATCATCATATTACAATAATTTCTAAAGGATCAGATTTGCCATCACTGGAAAAAATTACATTTTACTATATATTAAAATAGTAAAAATATTGTTGTTACTGTATTCTGGATCAAATAAATGCAGCTTAAATGCAGCAATAAGCATAAGAGACTTCTTTTAAATGAATTTTAAAAAAATCATACCGATCCTAAACTTTTGAACAGTTATATATAAATATATATGGAAGTGTGTTGCTGACAGTTGATGTTTTTGCATACGTTACTATAACAATGGCCCGGTTTCACAGACAGGGTTTATATTAAGCCAGGATTAGGCCTTAGATCATTAGAGTGCCGAAGTGATGACGTCACTTTGTAGGCATGGGTTCCCTCGATCGAAAAGCTATGCCTTTTTCCCCATAGACTTTTGGAAAATCACAAAAAATAAGGTCTGTGTTCAACAAAGAGTTGTGACCCTTACACGTTTTGTCTATCAAGATAATCTTTACAAGTTAATCCAAAATGTGAAGCCTATATAAAGTAAAAAAAAAAACACAAGCAGACACAATAAAGTTTAAAACGTGAAAATATTTAGAGGCGTTGTTAAACACAGACCTTATTTCAGGCGATTTAGCAAAAACCCATAGGGCGAGGAAATCGGTAGTGCTAAAATGCTAACTCACTTCCGCGTTTTGGCCTACAGAGTGACGTGATAACTTCGGCACTCTATTAGGAAATTTAAGTCGTTTTTATAAACATTCCTTAGAAAAAAAAAAAACATTACTGGTGTGAATCTTAAGACAAAACAAAGCCACTGACATATTTTATTTACATTTATTGACGTATTAAAACAGATCAAACATGCATTTTTGTCCCGGACAAGCTTAAGCTTTGACTATGAAACTACATGTGTTTGTCAGATTCTCTGGGCATGGATGGCCTGCAGCCTCTGTCCTCTGATTCCGCCACACTGGCGATGCAGCAAGCCATGCTGGGAGGAACCGACGACTCCATGGACGGCACAGAAGAGGACGACGAAGAAGAGGAGGAAGAAGAGGGAATCGACGAGGAGGAGGATGAAGAAGAGGACGAAGAAAGCGAGGGAGGCAGACAGATGGTTCGGAGAGATCTGGGCCTCAACCACAACGAAGGACTCGAATAAAGATTCAGATCGACTCAACTCTTACTCATCCCCATGGCAACACATCTCAACACTGCCTGAATGGTTTCCAGTGGACACTAAGTGCCATGGATCATCCAATCAGAATGAAGAGGAGGGGCCTTGATGAATAGCTTACATTCATGTTGAAGGAGGACAGAACATCGTGCAAAGGACGTAATGTACATTGGGCAACCGGTCATGCTACTCTCATTCATATAATGCATTTAAGCCTTACTTTGTTTATGTCTCTTTGGTTCTCAGGTGTCTTAGCATGACATAATGTCTACTAACCTCTTACAGTCCAATTGATAACCATGCAATGAGTGGATGTTTTAGGCATGTTTTTTTTTTTTTTACTTTTACTTTTTGTAGATTTAACTAAATATTCAATCTTTGAAGTTTAAAAAAAAAGAAACAAACAATCTAAATGCCTGACAGCACAATGTATGTACATTTGATAGTGATGCATTTTACCCGGACACTTCGTATTTATTTTATTAACTGTCAAAAGGCAGTGGCACAATCAACGAGGATGCTCTCCGCTGAGACAAACGCATGTTGAAAGCCTCGACGCAGAGTGCCAAGCATCTCTTCCACGCAAGGAACAAAACTCTCGTGCCCTTCTGGAACCGTATAGGACCTACAAATGAAGTTTACTGAAGAACACTGCAGGAAAAAAAAAGACATATTTACAGGTGCGTATCACACCCTGAAACGCCCCTCTTTATTTTATGTGAAGGACGAAACAAAAAACTGTGAAGATATTTCTGAGCTTTTCGGCTAACTGTGTCTACAGATTGAATCACCTGTTTCTGATGTGATGTTTAGAAAAGACAGAGGATGTTTCTGAATGTTATTGCAGTTGGTCTTTGTGAAGTACATGTTTCTCATTATCCTTTTCTTGGTTGTTTTTGTTTTTTTAAATTGTTCTTCCAGAGCAAGTGATGATAGGGGAGCTTTTTAATTATTTGTTTGTATACATTGTTGTCATAATCTATTGTGTTTCAGTAGATCATTTTTGATAATTAAAAACTATGACTCTACTGGACCTGGGTGTCATTTTACAACCTAATGAATTACTAGTACAAAAGAATACATGCATATTATTACTAAATTATAATATTGACCATTTTGTTGGGTTGTTATTGTGAACTAAAGCTCTGCTGTATCGTGAGTAAGTAGCCTACTTATTCACGTTATTCGCGGCTGAGAGGCGTTACTTATCCTGCATCATCTTCAGCCGTTACTTATTCACGATACAGCACTTGCCTCGAGTACCTCATTGCTTTTATAAAACAGTTACCACACAATAAAAATATTGAAGTAAAAAAATATATGTATTAGTGCAACTTTCATGAAGTAAAATCACTAAAAGCCTTCCTTCCGCTAGAAAAAATAGTCCCTGACCGTGAACAGCAACAATGTTCCAATGTGTAAAATGCATGAAAACTCACATAAAAACAACATAGGAACCGCAGTGATAACTAGAACCGTTGTGTGAAGTGGTCATAGCCGTGTTTCATCATGAATAAAGCACAGCTATTGACCAATCAGAATCAAGGATCGGAAGAAACCGTTTTATAAATGATTATTTTCACCATTTGGTTGCCTTGTTAACTAAAGCTAAACCTATGAAAACATTTTGGTAACACTTTACAATAAGGTGACTTCTACAGCTCTTCCATAGCATTTTAATTTCTGTTAATGAAACAAACTGAACAGCTGTATTTTTATTAACTAACATAAATACTGTAACAAGTGTAGTGATCAGTTAGTTCATGTTAGTTAATTTTAAAGTTTATTTTAAAGTGTTACTAACATTTTTGCTAACTGAAATAAAGTAAAAAATAAATATTAGACAAATTAAGACAAAAAAAATTATAAATGTTTTACTTGGCAAGTTGAATCACGTAAATGAAAATAACTAAACTGGAAATAAAATAAAACATGAGAAAAAAATAGGATTGGCTATTTAAAAATATTGATATCAAAAGCACATAAAAATCAAAACAGAAAAACGCTTTTTGAAAATATATCTAAAAAACTATAATACTATATACAACATGAATATATATATTTATATATACACACATATATTTTTCTTACAAAAGATAAACAGTCCCACAGTAGTGTATTGCTTGAAGCTATATTCATGCTTACTATGTTTGACTACTCTTTTCATAATTTTGTAACCTCAATAATTTTATTCTAAAAAGTAAAGTTAAGCTTTATAAAAATCTTTACCTGCCAAACAAAGAATAAAAATAAAACCTCATGATTTCCTGCAAGTATTTATTTAAAAAAAAAAAAAAAGCATTCATGGCCACTGGCAAATACAGCTCTAATTCCATTGGTGAATAATTTTGGCTGACTTTATACAAGTGTTCAACGTTCATGGAAGTGTTAAATACAATTAGATTACAAACTCCTCAATCTCAATCTTTGAAATCTTTATTACTATTAAGTTACATCTTACACTTAAAAGCTTTCCAGATGAACGTATTTTGGGCATGAATGGGTTAACCAGCCTTCAAATGAGCTCTAAACTTCACGAGGGTCTGTATGCATCTGAAATAACAGTGTTTGTGGCAGTCCAGCACGCACTCTTGAGCACTGGCAGGGCTGTTCAGGGCCGGAGAGTATTAATAACCCGGGAAATGACAGAGGCAAGAAAAGCCACATAGCCCGTGCATTTGAAGTGGATTGGTGCCACTGGGCTGATGAGCATGTTAGGGAATTCAGTAGATCTGCAGGCCATCTCCACCCTCTCTCTCTGCTCACAGCAGACTCAAAAAGTCCTTTCTAGCTCTTTTAATTACCCTGTAACCCAGCCCAGTACAGCCTCTCATTTTGCTCAGACCTCCTCCAGTATTTAAGATCCTCGCCAGCATCCCTCTCCTCTCCAGCCTCAGGACCAGTTTACTGCAAGATTGATCCACAACATTCCTCTACTGGACAAGGAACTCATAAGGTAATGAAAGAGCAACTGTACATTGTGTCTGTATCATTGATTGGATGAATATGTGACGCTACCCGTTTAACGTTTGTATACGTAGCCTATTAGTTATTATTTGCATTTTCGAGACATTGGTGTCATGCGCTAATATGGCACGTGGCTTGTTTAAATAACGTTTTGTCTCGCTCTTCCCAGATAGCACACGTACATCACAGAGACGTCTATTTGATGTGCGTGTTTACGTCTGGAAGATGTATTTTTTAGAGTGTTTGCTCACCTGCAATAGTCTATATATAGGACGTTTCCAGTCAGATGTCAAATAGACATTTAGAAGATGTCTTTAAGATGTAATGATTTAGAATGCATGTTAAAGGAGTAGTTCACTTTTGAAAAAACTTTTGCTGATAATTTACTCACCCCCATGTCATCCAAGATGTCCATGTCATTCTTTCCTCAGTCGAAAAGAAATGAAGGTTTTTGATGAAAACATTCCAGGATTGTTCTCCATATAATGGACTTCAATGGGAACCAGATGGTCCAAGGTCCAAAAGACAGTTAATAACAGTTTCAGATGCAGCTTCAAATGTCTTTAAACGACACCAGACGATGAATAAGGGTCTTATCATGCGAAACGATCGGTTATTTCAAAACTTATTCCAAAAATGTAACTTGTAACTAATGTAACTAAATACGTAATTACATTCAAAAGGTCACGGGCGACAATCAAAATCGTCCGACATCGTTGTTTTACCTTTTAATTCCTTTTTTTGTAAACGGCGTTTGAGCTAGTTTGCACGTTCAACCTATGCGTTCAACTTGTAAACACAGAGACTCTGTACTTTCGGCTACGTCGCCCGTGACCTTTTAAACGTAATTACGTATTACGTGACGTTACAAACGCGCCTCACAGAATAGAGCAAGGCTAGCATTTGTCCTTAGAAAAGTTACATTTTTGGAATAAGTTTTGAAATAACCGATCGTTTCGCATGATAAGACCCTTATTCATCGTCTGGTGTCGTTTAAAGACATTTGAAGCTGCATCTGAAACTGTTATTAACTTTTTTTTCGACCTTGGACCGTCTGGTTCCCATTGAAGTCCATTATATGGAGATAATCCTGGAATGTTTTCATCAAAAACCTTCATTTCTTTTCGACTGAGGAAAGAAAGACATGGACATCTTGGATGACATGGGGGTGAGTAAATTATCAGCAAAAGTTTTTTCAAAAGTGAACTACTCCTTTAACATGCATTCTAAATCATTACATCTTAAAGACATCTTCTAAACGTCTATTTGACATCTGACTGGAAACGTCCTATATACTGTATACCTATTGCAGATGAGCAAACACTCTTAAAAATACGTCTTCCAGATGTAAACATCACATCAAATAGACTATCTGGGTAACATTTTTACTGAATAGACTGTTCGGACCATAAAAGTAAGAATAAAACATTTCTTCACTCAAACTAACTCGTTTTCCGTTTGCCGCCCCCGCAAACGTGACAGTTTTTGTGAATACAAAGCTCATCCCTATTTACTGAGGTACATGCTATTTTCGGTTATGATTGGTTGTTTGATGCTCCTGGACATTTTTTTTTTTCACATCTCAGGATTAGAAACGGTGCTTAACCTGGGTTAAAATGTTCGACAACCCTGGTTCTAATAATCATTAACACTTGTGTGTTAAAATGGCAGTGCATCAAATTTTTTGGTTAATAAGAACTTGGATAGCTGCTAACGAATTTAATGGAAGACATAATTACTGTTTAATGGAATCATTTCATGGAAGGCTTAATCTGATACTTTATCATGCAAGGAAGTCTCATCATTGATTATATGGGTTCTTGTATCACATTTTCTATTAAACCACATCATCAAAGTCAAAGTGCTTCTTGATAACTTAAGGTGTCCCTCATGCATTCATATTGGTGTTAATGGACTAGTTTTGCGTCAGTATGAATGAAAGCACAAGAAATTGCTTACCAGAAATATCCTTTGTCGTCCACAGTTGGCAAGATGTCTATCGCCAACACGGCCGCCCAAGCGATGCTCTCCGATGCCCTGCTGAGGGATAGTAACGGGGACAGTCGCATCCGACACCTGGAGCTGGATTTGCCATTGGATAAAGTCATCAAGTTCATTTCTGTGGGCCTGCCGCTCCTTCTGGTGTCCATGGCTTTTGCCAGAGAGATTTCAATCGGTTAGCAGCTCTTTTTCTCTCCCTATAGTGTGCCATGCGCAAATCACAGGACATCAGAGCGAACACTGGCACTGCAGTCATTTCCCAGACCCTTGAGTTAATTGACTGACCATTAGCTTGAGGGCTGGACTGATGGAAGTCTGGATGTAATTAGTGTTCATCTGAGGTGACGGCGCTCAGGAAGGGGAACCGTGGTGAAATATGACAATTAAGCATCTGCTAATGATTATTATCCATTTATATGACATTGCAAACCAACTGGAATTGCTTTCAGGGGAGATATCTTTAGTGACTTGAACAATATTGCTGAGCTTTCCTGGCAACAGTGCTTTGGAGAGAACTGTCTGTTTTGTGTAGGCAGTTGACTTTGAGGTTGCAATCAGTTCCTCTGGAGCTGGTCTGCAATCAGCTCACACAGATGTTAATTGGCATGAGGATGATTAAGAGAGACGTGTAGAGATGACAAGGGTCTGTAATTACAGTCAGTCTGCTCTCTATTTCAGACGAACGAGAAGATATGCTAATTAAACGGAGACGTGCAAGGCAAGCAGACTGATTCTCTCTGGCTCTGAACGTGGTCTGACAACACTCAGGTTATTTGGTTAGGATACATCAACACAAACTTTACAGCGGAAAGAAAATTACATCACAAGAATGCAGGATATAAATACAGGATATACATTACCAGTCAAACGTTTTGGATAGTTAAGAAGTCTTTATTGATTTTTTTTTATTAAAAATACAAAAACATACAGTAATATTGTGAAATATTACAATTTAAAACAGCTGTAAGTGTAATTTATTTCTGTGATCAAAGCTGAATTTTCATCATCACTCTTCAGTGTCACATGATTCTTCAGAAATCATTCTAATATATGATGATTTGATGCTCAAGAATCATTTATTATCACTGTTGAAAACAGTTATGTACATTTTTATAGAAAGTTGAAAAGTACCTTGGGAAAAGAAAAGAAGTTTGGGGTCCGTAAGAAGTTTGATTTTATTTTTTGGGGGGAAATAAATAAAAGAAATCAATATTCATCAAGGATTAATTAAATTTATTAAAAGTTACAGTAAATACATTTATGATGTTAAAGGATCAAAGAATCCTGACAAACCATTTCTACACAACTGTTTTCCACATTAATAATAATAATGAAAGTGTTATGAGCATCAAATCAGCGTATTAGAATTATTTCTATAGGATCATGTGACATAGAACAAGTTTTAAAATTATATTTTAAAATATATTAAATGTATTTTAAATGGTCATAATATTTAACAATATTTCATTTTTTTTTTTGTATTTATAAACAAATAAATGCAGCCTTGGTAAATTATGGCCAAAGAACATTACAAATCTTACCGATCCAAAACTTTTGAACGGGAGTGTATAGGCTACATAAATAGATTAAGATTGAGACTTTTGGGAAACTCAGATGTCTATTAATATCTCTCCTGGTTTGAAGACTTTTGGGATCATGTAATTTGCAGAGATGTTCTGTGGAGCTCAGTTATCCGTAATAGCCGTGGCCCGTGGGTGTGGGACATGTTGTGTTCAGTCAGTAAATTGGAGGTTGACTGTAGGTTTTGGAGGGTGACACAGATGTTTAAGTGGTCCATATAAAGTAGGGCTTGGCCTCCTCTCAGCAACTGGGTCACACCCTCTCGCCCAGGCAGCAAAACCCGCCGCAGAAGGGTGTTTCCTGGCAGCCTCGGTGGTTTCACCATCTGTGTCCCTGGACAAGATCTAGCATTATAACAGACATGCCACCCAGCTCTTAACCAGCCTCTCCACTTACACAGCAACAAGTGATTCAAGAACACTGTCATTTATATCTCAGCATGTTCATTTCTCTGTGTTTCCCTCCCAGGCCCACAGATTAGCTGCTTTCCTCCCAACAACTTCACAATAAAGCAGGCAGCATATGTGGATACGTACTGCTGGGACTCGCTCATGCACCATGAGTTCGACACAGATGGGAACTTTGAAGAACGTTCACTGTGGGTACATAAAGTGAGTGAAAACATTCATAAAGTGCATCACAAATGAGACCTCTTTAATATTTTTGTACATCACAAACGAGACCCACAAATATCTTGGTTGTTTTTTTTCTAGATGTCATATAAAATTCAGTCAAATTCAAGTCTCTTGCTTTTTCTCCTGAACAAGAGAGACAAATGATTTTATATAGAGATACAGAATATCATTCTACATATCTCATTGTCTCAAAATAAGCACTGATTTTCCTAAATGTTTATTTATAACGATTTATAATAATTTATAGATCTGATATTTACTTTGTCAACAATTATATTTTGTGTCCTTTTTTAATTCTATTATAAATCTGAGACAAATCAGATTTTTAGACAGATAGATAGACAGACAGACAGACAGACAGACAGACAGATAGATAGATAGATAGATAGATAGATAGACAGACAGACAGACAGACAGACAGACACTACTGTACTCAATTGTTCTCTTGCTTGTGCAGATGTTTCCGTACTCCTTATTGGTCATGTCCATGATGATGTACCTGCCGGCTGTGATCTGGCGGTATCTAGCCGTGCCCAGTCTGACCTCTGACCTGTTTTTCATCATCGACGAACTGGACAAGTCTTACAACCGCTCTGTCCGCATGGCCCAGAGCATCCTGGACCTAAAAGTACAATCAGAAAACCCTCTGCAGTTTCAGGCTGAGCTTGAGAGGTATGTGCAAAAAAATTGAATTTTTTTTTTTTTTGTGTGTGTGTGTGTGTGTGTGAAGTGTGTAATTTCCAAATTTTTTCAGTTGTTGTTGTTGTTTCCAAACATTAAACAAAAAAATCCTCCTATTTTTTTTTTGTCTTTTTAGAGCCAAGCGCAAGCGGTACTTTGAGTACCCCCTGCTGGAGAGATACATGCAGTGCAAGCATGGCTCCTACTTCCTGGTCAGCATGCTCTTCCTGCGAGGCTTCCTGCTCCTGACCTTCATGTCCGCCTCGTGCCTGTACCTAATCTACTTCCACCTCTCCGCCTTTCTGCAAGACGAATTCAGTTGCTACGTGCGCACCGGCCTCCTCCGTGACCAGCCCTGGGTGCCTGAGCTAGTTCAGTGTAAAATGACTGGCCTACTTGTGTTCCAGGTCATTAGCGTAGCTAACGGTGCCGTGTATGTGCTGCTAGCTCCTATTGTTCTCTTCAGCCTGCTGCGTTTGTTCTGCTGGGACACAACCTTCCTCTCCCTTTACGAGGTGCTGCCCGGATTGGGGCTCATGAGCGGTCAGAAACTGGGCTGCCCACTGAATGATCTCAACGTGCTGCTCCTCTTTCTACGCGCCAACGTGGCGCAGCTGCAATCGTACGGCCGCCTGAGGGCTGTGTGCTCCCTCGCGCCTCCTCGGTTAAAGGGTGGGCTGACGGTGGAGCAGGCGGAAGAGGCGGCGGAGGCCCGAGAGGAGCTCGAGGAGGAGATGAGAGAGGCCAGAGAGGAGGGAAAGCTCAATCTTGTAGACATCATGACTGTGCTGGGAGCAGCCAAAGGAAACGCAGTGAACTGTCCCGAGCAGCGCCCTCTTGTGGAACAAGACATGACGCTTGGTACAGTCACTCTCATCTACATCCTTAAACGCATCATGCTCGTCGGCATTTTCGTGGCCGTCATATGGGACGTTCAGAAATTCATCAAAGTGACATAAATATGTTATTTAGGGTGTTGGACACTGAACTTTTGTATACGAACATCATTATATTTTGTGCGAACTGAAGATAATGTGGGAAATCAATGACACAATGTGCCATTTCTTGAAAATGTATAGCATTTTAATATGAGCCTGCTTCTTACCACACATTGTGTGCTGGTTTATTAAATAATATGTCCAATTTTAACCTATATTACGGTATTCCACAGATTTTGATTTAAAATGGCCATCTGGGCCTAATACATGCCACTTTCTTGAAAGTCTATGAAAGTACTTCATTCGTTCTAAAGGAGGCTTTTAGAAGTTTTAGCATCCGCATTGTGCACTTTATTTTAGACAAAAGATGTTTCGCACTTAACAGCCCAAAATTGATGCCCCTAACAGCACTCTCTGTCTCTTTACAGAGCCTAACCAGCAGGGGTACCATGAGTTGAAGGAGACTACAACATGTTGTTTTGCCTAAAGCACCAGCAATGGACTGAAGCAGCACTGTCATACTCTAGAGACCCCTGTAGAACTGCTAAACCTCTGAGATCAAATAAAGATGAAGATCCAATAGCTCCTCTTTTATAGTTCATTAATATAATCCCTATGGATCTCTTACACAAATCACCTCAGGAATAAAAACCCAAAGTCTGTATTGACAATTTGAAAAGCCTCCAAAAACTTGATTTGTATATCTTTATTTATTATTTTCATTCGGATTATCTGATGTGAGTGGATTCTATACTTCTTTGAAAACTGGATTCTTTACTTGACGTTTCTTTACTTGAATAAAAATAGTTTATATTCGTGTTTTCTTTGTTAATTTCCGCATTATACACATACACAGATGTATGGACTAACATTGAAAAGTTTGGTTTTTTTTCAGCAGGGAAAAAAATGTATTATGGTTTACAAAAACAAATTACATTTAAAAAATATTAGAATAGAAAACTGTTACCAGGACCACACCCCTAAATGCATTGAATCAACTGCCATGTGATTGGTTGATTAGATCATTGCATTAATGAAAAATTGAACAAGTGTTCCTAATAAACCTTTAGGTGAGTGTATAGTCTAGAATAATTATCTTTTCATAAAATTAAATAAGACATCAAGAACTATATAAACGTAACATATTTTAAGTGTTATACCTGAAGAATGGAACAGCTTATCCTTTACCTTAGAGAGAAATATCGCCTCCTCCTATGAGATTTAACGTGTCCCATAAATGCTAGACTTTCTGAAGTTTCTGTTCCCATGAGAGCTATCAGTGAACCCTTCTTCAGCGTGAAGTTTTACAGTATCTACTTAAAGTTTCATACATCCAAGCACTGGAAATGATGGCCTGACATATTAGGAGCACTAAAATAAAATTACAGTACATCCATTTACATGACAAGAAGTTTGCGAGACATTCCAGTCAAGATTTTGGAGATATAGGACAACAGGATTATTTTTTTTTATAACTATATCCTATAGCAAATCACCATTATACAGTATGGGGCTAGTTGTCACAATGAACTCTTTCTTCCAAACTAAAATTCCAGTATGATATTTTTTGCTCCGGAGTAAACATTAAAACCACACCGACCTAAAACAAAGGCAGATTTTAACCAAAATTCTGAACTTTATTCTCAGGATGAGGGTATTATAAATAAAAAGTTAGGTTAGGGTAAGTTATCACACTCATAGAAATATATAGACAGTGACTTCGAAAAAATTGCCCGACTTATTGAGTGGAGAAAAGGCCCAGAGTCCCTTACATCATTTACTATCAACGGCCTCTTCCTGTTTTTGGTGTGGCTCATTGAAAGTCTGTTTGGAGAGATGCTACCTTGTTCCCATGCCCAGTCCATCTGCTGCCCTCTCTGCGTGAGATCCATTTGCTCAGCACCAATGTTTGATCTCAAAGACACTTTATTCTCACAGTATGGCCACAGACAGAACCCGAGGAGGGCAATAGGCAAAACAGTCTGGATCTTATTGAGCAAGTGAAAATTAGATGCTGGTCATTTAAATCTAATAAACAATTTCAACTCAACCATGAAAGGGGGTCACAGCTGCTCATATTTCCCTCACATTCATAGCATAAACAAGACGACGACTCGCATGATACGCTATTTTATTTTTTACAGCATATACTCGTACAACAATTTGAGGACTTGTTATTTACTGTGGTACCAACACAGGGGGGGGGGTCACTCGAGTAACACACCATCAATAGCATCTTTTGTGACACGAGCTTGTTTGCCCTGTGATCAGGGTTAAGTTAATGAGCCTGCTAAAAGCCAGGAGAAACTCGATTAGTTTGATGGAGTACTGAAGCAGAGATCTGCCCAGAGGATTTCATAATGGTCTTCTCAGAGGTGAGGACGAAACTGCAAATAGTAAATGAGCTCTGAAGAGAAGCCTGAAAGGGCAAAAATACAAAAACACTAACTGGAGAAAGCCATTATGATGTAGCTTTTATGTTACAAGTATATATGTAGCCCACTCATTACGAAACATATATAAAGCCTTGATTCATCAGACCTTGATAATTGATTAGGTCTTTTTAGGCTTACTCAAAGGGGATTTTAGGAGAAAACTCCTCCGGCAATGTCACCCAGAAACGTAAAAACTATTTCGACTATGTCCACATGAGGGCAGAATTTAGTTATATATCAAATGAAGATTACTGGATGCAAGAATTTACAGAGAAATAATAAATATATGGAGATACATTTATTTAGAACAAATATAAGGAGAAGCATAATGATTGCTTTGACATGGTAAAATGAATTGCTTTAACAATCATTGAATATGCATATCACCATTATCTGAAAACTATACCTTTTAAAGATTGTTTATAAACTCTTTAAAGCAAGATGTAGTAGGCCTAATAAATGTTCGGTGACTAATTGCTTCACGACGTAAAAAAACCCGTTCCATTATATTCAAATGAATTATTTGATTTGTGTTGCCTATGTTTTATTCCATTTAAAATATAACTAATTTAAATCAAAGTATTTTTTTTTACATCTTTTATTATTTTGCGAAAATTCTACATTCTATACACAAGAAAAGATTGTCAGGATCAAAGCTAAATTCAATTTATTTCTTCATGAGAAGGACTAGCACGCCAGTTTGGAGAACAGAATAGGCTACTTGAAAAAGAAGATTTGTAATATTTTTCCATTAATATTTTTGATTGATGAATGGTCATGTGCACTTGATTTTTTTATGTATACATTTGTAATTTTGTATTTTGTTGTATATTTTAGTCCTATTCCAATGGCGGTTTTGATCAATAATGTTGAACCATAGAGGGCGCTAAGCTTCAAGTCGTCGTGTTGAAGGTGTACAGGTGCGTAATTGTCTATGGTAATTAATTGTGGAGGAGTAAGGTAAGTTAACGTGGAACCACAAGCCCTCTTTTTAGACAGCTCATCTGTTTTTAACTTGACTTAAAACGAAAAAGGGGAATGAGAGATGTAAAGTAAACTGTACTCGCTTTATTGAGTTTATTAAGAATGTCTTTGATCTATTTTATGTCGTTGTTTCATTATCACGGATGTTGGATGCACATTGCTGTCGCAGTAGCAAGAAAAAGTAGGGCTATGTGTGAGTTTAGGTTGGTTGGTACTATGTATGTTTGTTCATCCTGTCATTAAATGTTAATTTCAGTGTTGAGGAGCTGCTTGAAAGAAAAGCAAAATCTTAATTTTTGTAGGCTACTAAAAATCTAAACACTAACGGGAGAAGAACACTATGGTTAGGTGCTACTACATCAGTGTTATCAACAAAATATGTTGATCCAGTTATGATATAATAACGTAACAATTTCAGATACAGCCTTAATTTTTCCTAGTTTTTTCCTGGTTTGGTTATGCAAGTGGTGTAGAAATGTGCTCTGCACACTGTGCAAATAGAAAAGTATTGAACATGTCACCTTTGCTAATTTTTTTTTTCAAACGGAGGACGAGTCACATTATACAGAATTTCTTAAGTCTTGCAGGCATTTATCTGAAACCTTTCTTGAGTGATTGGTTCCCATTATCCAATTAAGGCCCGACACGCTATGACTTTCAAATTCCCATCTTTCTCACTCCTTGCGTTTTTGGTCTACTGACATTAGTTCCTGTAACTTTTTTCCTGAGAGCTTGGTGAAAACAGACGGTGGGATGGAAAACGACAGCCAATTATTCCTCTCGTCAGTTCGTTTGTTTCCTGTATCTCTTGTTGTCGTTCGGAACCAAAGGTTGAGCGTTGCTAGCGATTTCTAGCTAATGTCCAATTAAGACTGATGTGGGCTTTTTGTGCCTGTATCAAGGGAAGTGAACTGGTGTGATGATGGATGCTGTGCATGCCATGTGGGATGAGCTGGAAGCCTGAATGTTTGCTTAGACCCAACATGATTCGGTAATGGATCTCTAATCTTGTTGAGAGAGGAGAGCTGTGGGGGAAAAGAGTCTGAGAGAAAAAAAAACAATAAGCAAGGACCTTTGTCATGCTCTGCTGCTGCCTGGGAAACCTTGATTACGGTTGTTAAAAGCTGTTCGCCACAGCTGAAATAGAAGGTGAAAAGTAACTAGGCCGTAGCACGACGTACATTAATGGGTCTCTGCATGAACTGATGACAAGATCAATAACTCAGACCTTGTTTTTAAGAACTGCTGCTTGGAAGGGATAGTTCACCTAAAAATAAGACTTTTCTTCAAAACACAAATGACCCTCCATTGAAAGTCCCAAAACGTTCCTAAGGAGATTGTACACACACACACACACAATGTTTTTATGCTGTATATCTGTATATTCTATCCCTTTATAGACCATTTCACAAGATGTAAACAAGACTGGTCCAGAAGCACTTCCTGTTTCAGTTTGTAACTGTTTCCTTTATTTCACATGTAAAGAAAACATCTTAAAGATGTTTGTTTAACTTTTTGATTCAGTTTTAAATTTTCTGTTGGTTGTATTTTATCCCAGCTTTTATGTAGTGTTAAAAAACTGAAACAGGAAGCGCTTCTGGACCAGTGTTGTTTACATCTTGTGAAATGGTCTATACTAACACCACGCCAAAAACAACACAAAAACGTCACAAAACTTTCTACGCTTTTACATTTTTAAAAAACCTTTAACTATTTTTATTAGGGATGCACAATATATCGGCCAGCCGAGCATATCGGTATCGGCCGATATATGTTCATTTTTAATGTTATCGTTATCGGCCTGGTAAGAAAATGTGGCCGATATATTAAAACCGATAAATAATGTATTATTCCCTTCAGCTGAGACACTTGTTGAGAACTGTTTTTATGTTTTTGAATTTCTTGAAATATGATTAAAATCTCTTCAAAAAATGAAAATCTGGTTCGGGACAACTGTCATATCGGCTATACAACACTATAATGAGAACATCATTATAATTGTGCGCTTGGGACATGGATTTAATTCTGAGACTTTTGTTTTTGTAATCAGGCTCTCAAAATTAGATAAAAATTTGGATTTAAGTTTATCGGCCGATATATCGGTTATCGGCTTTCAAATATAAATAATTATCGGTTATCGGTATCGGCCAAAATTTTAATATCGGTGCATCCCTAATTTTTATACCATATTTACAAATGAGGATGTCACTTAAGGGAGGTTTTTGGAGATTTTGTCAAGTTTTGGTCTCTTCTGGGTACAAATTTGTCCCCAAAATATAGTTAAGTAGGTACACACACACACTCACACTCTCTCTATTAATATCCCCATAGCAAGTATCTTTTCACGTATCTCAGTTCAAAGTCCCCCATCAAAGCTTAAAAGTGTCTTTTTAAAG